AAAGAGTTTAAAACTTTAGAATTAGAGGAAGAATAATATATGAGTTATGCAAAGGGCATTGGATTTAGCATGAGAAAAGACAAATTGGTTCGTAATTCGAAAGGGAAAGTATGTAGGAGACGGTGGTGTTGTTTTAAAGAAGGTTTGAGAAATGAGAAGTTTAATGATTGACCGGATAGGATTCGAAACCGAAGCCAAGTACAAGAGAGAATTGCCCTGCCCATTTTTGGGTGGGTTATGAGAAGAAACGTGATACTTACGTTGTTACAAATTTTGAACCACATCACAATCATCAACTAGTTACTCCACTTGAATCGCCATATCTTCGATGTAACCGTGTTGTTCGAAATTCCGATTTAGCACAAGCAGTGGAAATGCGAAGAGCATTGGTTAGAACATGTCATACATATGAGTATATGGTCGACCAATATGGCGGGTATTTAAATGTTGGTTTTCAAATAAAGGATTTGTACAATAAGTTGGATGCATCACGCGGGGAAATTTTGCTCGACGCTGACACAGAAGCCGCATTCTCGTACTTAAAAGGAAAAGGAGCAATGGATCCAGAATTCTTTTGTAAGTTTAGTGTTGACGAGGAAAATTGGCTCGGTAATTTGTTTTCGAGGGACCCCACTTCACTTTTGGAGTACATTGCCTGTGGTGACGTCCTCATATTCGACAGCACGTACAAAGCAAATATGTATGACAAGCCCCTAGTGTTATTTGTTAGTTCGAACAACAACCGTTCTACTGTAATGTTTGGTTGCGCATTATTGCATGATGAGACATTTGAAACTTACAAGTGGTTATTGGAAACATTCATGGCATCCGTGAAAGATAAGAAGCCAATATCAATATTGACGGATGGCTATGAGGCGATGCATAAATCCATTGATGATGTGTTTCCCATGTCTAACCATCAGTTGTGCTCATGGCATGTGTCAAGGAATGCACAGAATAACTTGAAGGATGATGAATTGCTAAGAAATTTTCAGGTATAAATTTGGGAACCATTTGCGTTGGATGAGTTTGAGAAGAAATGGGAGGTTTTGAAGGAAAGAACGAGTACTCCGAAACAAAAAGAATGGTTGGAAATGATGTATGCAAAAAGAGACTCATGGGCTGAATCATGTTTTAGAGGAAAGTTTTTCGATGGTATGTGCACCACTCAACGCATGGAGTCCATGAACAAGTATGTGAATGATTACTTGAGGAAAGGCGTGAAGTTGTTTGAATGTATTCCTGCAATTGATAGGGCTATGTTACGTCTTAGGAATACCTCGGCGAAGAATGGTTTCAACGCAAAGTACTTAGCACCAGTCCTTAAAACCGCATTAACAAAACTCGAGCAATAAGCTTCTCAGATTTACACGCATAGGTGCTTTGTATTGATACGTCATGAGATCGAATCTTGTTCAGCACTCACCCATGATAATGTGATGCATAATTTTGGAGGTCGTGTATACGTATTGCCAAAATATGGTGAACCGCATAATAATTGGACTTGTGTTTACCACGGTGGGGAAAATATGTGGATAGAGTGTGGATGCCGGAAATTTGAAAGTGAAGGGATCCCGTGTTGCCACCTGTTTTATGTAATGAAGTGCGAGCACCTTACGGAAATTCCTCCAGCACTCATAATGAAGAGATGGACAAAGAGTGCCCAAAGTGATACATGTAGGGAATGTTTCGGCAAAGGCGAAGACACTACCAACAAAGTTGTAGAAATAGTGAGGTATGGAAGTTTAAGTGCTATGTCAAACAAAGTATGTTTTTATGCATCGAAGAGTGAAGATGGTTATGCCATGTTGACGAATGAGTTTAGTAGATGGGAGGGAATTTGTGAAGGCTTACGGTAAAAGGAAGAAGAGACAAGTCTGAAATTGGATACTGCTGGGCAATGTCCTCCAAATATTGTGAAAGATCCAAAAATTGTTAGGACAAAAGGCACTCAAGCAAGCCAAGGTGGAAAACGCAAGCATCGACAATGTCATTTGTGTCGCGGATATGGACATACAAAGTGAAATTTCTCTCAAAGAAACTTGCATCCAAGCAGAAATGCAGGTGTGAATATCCCTTCAGGTAGTGAAAGCTATCAGTATAGTTTCAAGAAAGGGCCGTCCTCGGACATTAGCTACAGTTATGCTAGTAAAACGGTTCCTCAATGCAGAGGCAACTGTGTGGTTGATTTGTCTGGTTCTGATAGTTTTTCTATTGTAGACCCAACCAGTTATACCCCCAACAGTGACGATGGTTTCTCATTCAACAATGGTGAACCTATTTCCCTATGTACTGGTTCAACTTGAAACAATTGTAGTTTCGGAATTTGGTTTACATGTAACAATTAACATTAAATGTAGATCTAGTGATACACAAGATGCTTTCATATAATTGATATATTATTGTTTTATTATGTATTGTTGAGAAACGGTTTTATGACTTGTATGGGGTGCTTGGATGGAAGTTTTATGTAGGCGGCGGTGATCCAAAATACATTGCATCAGAAAGGGTAAGGGGCAATTATTTGAACATATTAGAATCGGTAAAGACCAATTACCTGAAAATACTTGGTATTAGAAAATTGTTGGCCCGAAAGTGCAAATTACATTCCAAAATATATCCAATTTTGTAAACCACGATTGGTTAATCCTATTTTTTAATCATATCCATAGGGTCATAATGAAATTGTTACTTGCTTTTGTTTGTCTTTGCTATATACATTCATTAGCTTCGCATTTAAGGTCTTAACAGTTTTGACTATAGCCGGTCGGCATTTGCGTTTACGGTCTCAAGAGTGACGTGCGCAAACCCCTAATAAGGGAAAATGGATCATATTTTATTGTACAGGCATAATTAGACCTTTTTTTTTTTACTATAAATAGAAGCGCGAAATGAACCGAAATACAGAGCATGAGAAACGATAAAGGGCAATAATCCGAACATATTATATTACAAAATGACCGATTATAAGAAATTACCTAGTAATAGAAATTGTCATGTAGTGCGAAACACATTCCAAAATATCCCGAATTGCAAACATGCAATTGCATGACGGTGATGCAATGCGAGAGTGAACATATTTTATTGTACAGGCATAATTAGACCTATTTTTTTACTATTAATTGAAGGGCGCTATTATCCGATATACAAAGCATGAGAAATGGTAAGGGCCATTACTTATGTGAATGAACACTTTTATCACTTTTATGTTTTCGGTTTGTGGAGTGTTGTTCTGCATCTGGATTACCCTTAGTTGTGGCCCCGGTGTTGTTCTGCACCCGGATTACCCTTAGCTGTGGCCCCATCCTCATCCTCAACCTCTTTCTCTTCTATCCAAGCTTTGTCTTCATTCTCCTCTTCTTCTTCCTCTTCATTTTCATCTTCATCTTCCTCTTTGTCTTCCTCTTCCTCATCTTCTTCATGCTCTTCTGCTACCACAATTTTGGTCTTTCCTTTTCTAACTATCTCATGTTTAAATTTTGTGCGAAACTCCTACATACAGGGAAACATTGACACATATAAATAATCAATTTTGTTGTGCACACGAGTGATGATGGTTTGCATTGCAAAATGTAACATATTATTTAAAATTGCAAAATTGAACATCTTATAAATCGAATGGGGTAATGGAGGTAACAAACTTACATGTTCTGCATTATCAGCTAAGACATCTTGACCAATACCAAAACTTGCAATGGTTGTCCTCGTGATGTTCTTCAATATCTCCTATTACAATACAACATCGTTCATGTTCATTCTTGGTCTGTTATTTCCATATAACATCGGTGATGTTTGTTAATTTTATGAAATCACTATGAAATGAAGCCGAACTGACTCATAATCTCTTGCCGTAGGCGCCTAATCTCTATGCTTGCTTCCAATGAAGTTGAAAATAGTAAGGCATTCAACCCAACATTCAGCTCCAAAATCTTGGTTGCAGCTTCAACAGTTGCCTACATTCAGGCACATCCAATTACAATAATCACCACAAGAAGCCATCAATTATGAATAAATTGTGCAATGGAAACTACGTACATGCGTTACACCATCAGGTAATGGTAGATCAGGGCTATCTTGTCCATGGGGTATCCGCACAAGTTTACTTCCATTTTCGGCGGCCCAGCATGGTATTCGCACTGACCATGGCTGAGGAGAGATGTTTCCCACCCTTATATTGGCCTCTTTGGGAGTTTTGTATTGTCCTTCCTGTGGAATTGAGGTATCATGTTAGATTTGTGAAAAATTATATCAATTTAATGCAGGAAGTGTAAGTACATAACACATATTCAGTGTAGAACGTACCGCTTCATGTAAGTCCTCATAGTGGTAGTACCTTATGTACTCATCTCTATACTGGGCAAAGTCAGATGAATTTGCAAGCCATTCCGAAGCTGGGTATCCATTAAGTGCTTCCTCGACTCCTGACTCATCAGTGAGCTTATAATCGGAAATCATTGTCCTCGGTGAAAGTTTGGGTACTTGAGGTTCTGTGGTACCTAAACTTTACATTGCGATTCGCTCTCCCAAAAACCAGGCTAAACCAGCTGGTCCCTCTAGTAGGATTCGTTTACGAGTTGCCGGCACAGTATTTTTGAATCAGCTGGTCCCTCAAGTCTCGCTTTGCTTTTGCACCTAACCACCTCAATGTTCGGGGCCACGTGTTCACGGTCTCACTGGGCCTTGATAAAGCAAACAACTTTAGGTACTCGCAAACCCATACCTACACAAAACAAGTATACAAATTAGCAATTTAAGCAAAAAAGTCCGTTGCACTTTGGGGACATTTAATTCGATTACACTAACCTCTCATACCCTCCAATACCCACCCATGCTTGAGGACCTGCCCCTGGAACAATAATCCATTGATCTATACAAGCAAGCCAAAGCTGCACCACCCCAGTTGTAAATCTCCAAGTCATACTTTAATCGCTTCCCACCAACATGCAATCTTGTGATTGCTGTGAAGTTCATAAGGGTCATCGACATCTCTCCAACTTCATCAAAGTGGAATGTGTGGGTAGTGTCCCACCATCTATCAGCTAAGGCCACAAGTAATGGCCTATCCCCTTTCTTTCCATAATATTGACAAAAAGGGCAAAAAGCCAACTTGTTTAACCTTTGCTTTCATAGTGTCGTGCATTGCTTTGTTATACCATGTAGCACACTTGTCATTGTTTCCATACCCTCTTATTTGTTTTAAAGTAAGCTGCATAAACACAAAGGGTTTAGTAATCTCAATTTGATTGTGACCCACTTAATTACAAATTATTTCAAAGTGAGAAATGCAAATTGTCAAATAAAATAAGAATACCTTGAAGGAGATATGTTCCTCCAAATCCACGTGAAGCAAGGGTGAACAAGGATTTTGATCCCTCGGTATGAACACACATACACCGAACACCCAAGTACCCATAGGACCCGAAATTCATTTTGCTGGCTTCCGTTTTTTCGAGCTTGAGGTAGCCACTGAAGCCTTACTTTTCGTAGGCTTTGCAAGTGTGGTCTTCTGCGGCCCGGAACCTTCATGAGATGCTCCAACCTCAATGGACTTGTTCTACGTCCTCATTGTCGCTTGGAATATCCTTCAACCTTAATACAATAACAATAACTTTGATAAACATGTTCATACTAGAAAATAGATTATCATTGAAATGATTGGTACAATATATTTTTTCGGCAAAAAGAGCATACTTTGTTAATAAATGTATATTGGCATTATGCATGAATTAGCAATATTAGATAAGCATATAACATGATATATCAAGCCATTATTCAAGATTTATATTTTCCTTTCTAGAGAGAAAGCTACACCTACCCCTGCATGCTTTGTTTCTTCGATAGCTAGTATCTAATTACCCATCCAAACCGTAAAATATTTTCATTGGAGATTATACGTGGAATAAATTGTCCAACACTGAGACAAAAACAGAAGCATAACAAATGTGTCGGAGCACCACTAAAATCTAAATGGCCTACGTTATTGAAGGAATAAGACTAGGGT